AATGCACGAAAGGTTCGAACGAAATAAAAAACGAGGACATCATCAAACCCATGTAGAGGGCTATCTAGCCTGATACATGCCCAACGACAATCTTTCGATGAAATTTACTCAACATGTAATGACTATCTGCTGAGGTACATATAATGGAACGATTCCAAAGAATCATGTGTTCGCCCAAGTCTTTTGGTGGCTTTTAAAAAAGAAGAAAATACGTCACATGACAATGAAATAGTAGCCACCATTAAAGAACTGCGAGAAGTCAATGAAATTAATAGACCAAATGATCGAATGTTCATCGTTCCGGTGTACGAAGTACTCCTGCACCGTTACCTCTGTTACATATTTCGTCATCGACCCCTGCGTACTACTGATGGAGATACAGACATTCAGTCTGTAAAAACCAGCTACTTGAAATATCCGATGTTTCCCAGCGATACCACCACTAAGTAGTAGGTACGAAGATTCGAAATTGAGGATGCTCGCAAAGCTTCAGCTGGCAACGTTGTTGTGAGGTGCAAACGACAACCTATATGCAGTAGAAGAGCTTCACAAATACAAATGGAAGTATTGAAATAACGCATCGAGAAACTTAATAAGTGAGTGATGTTGCATAAAACTTCGACTTTGGCAAAAGTTCACTTGAAAAAGATGAACAAAAAAGTAAAAATTGACTTCAGTCAACTAACGCTAATGGAGGGTGGAATGTTGAACCTTTTTAAGGAATGAAGTTCGAATTCAACATTGAATTGAGTGCATCCTTCGAAAACACAACTATTATCTGCGAAGAAGAATGATTTTTACTTCGGAGAAGAAAGGCGGAGTCGCCGATGAATTGGACAATATTGAAAGTTTATAAGGAATAAAGTTTAAATTCAACGACTAATTGAGTGCAATCTTCGAAATCATGACTGTTATTTGCGAAGGAGAATGATTGTTCCTTTGGAGAAGGAAGATAAAGTCGCTGATGGATTGCAAAATCCATGATAATGATGAAAATTTGTCATTACAACGGCTTCTCTTATGTTTTCATCACGATTTCGTTTGAATGTGGTATCGACATTCAATGTACAAGTTAATACGTACATCATATGAACTTCGCGTACTCCATATCTGAATCATTCTTTCAAGGTGCACCCCCGATTTGCATTTTTTCATAATTCCATACATCATTTGAATCCGAAGCGCAAAGTGCAGTGAGAGTGAGCAGCGGTAGCAAGCAACACACATGATGCAACATCCACTCGCAGTGTCATTTTTAGACCGATCGTGTTTCGAACTAATGGAACGTCAAAACGTAGCGTTCACTCGTTGCGTTTCAAGCAACCGAATGATGAGACTGGATTACTCTAATCACCCAAACTGCGTAGTTTCTCATGATCTACGCAAGTATGTCAAGAAAATCAACTTGACCTGGGTATTGATGATTTTTCTGCATCCACTTGTCCGTGATGATATAATTCTATTTGTTTAAAAAAAAGAAACTGTGGTATTTTCCACAAACGACATCAACACTCACAGTAAACAAGTCAAAGCGGCTCTTTCATAGGCTCGGGATAAATTAAATAACTCCATCCGCTTTAACATGAATATCACCCCATATGGACTTTCCTGCAGATACTTGTCGCTGTGGTTTTCCACCTCTCTCCACAGCCTTTAATTTTTTGACTTAAGTATGTCCCATTCACTACCAACAATCACTTCATTCGACCAATTATATTTCAGGTGAGTGCTTTCACAAATTCGGATTGATGAATCCTGTGTTCTGGTGTCGACTGCGAAATGATCCTAAACTATCATAAACCATCCCAAATCGTTCTTGCTCTCGAGGCTGAACTGTTAAGAACTGTTCCCGTTGCTCATGCGCATTCATGTGGGAATTTGTTCGGGCTATTTTCTAGGTTGTTTATTTATTTATTTGATTTAAATAATTGATGATTGAGGTTAGATAACATTTGAACTGACTACAAGGATACGCAACATAACAAAATGGACATAATCAACAGTTTTTTTTTGTCGTCTTTGTCTCTTCATATATACGATAGGTGGCATAATGGTCTCCTCAAAATTCGTTCTGGTTTAAACAAGTGTCCGAGACTATTTCGGACTGAGATTACTCGAATTTACATTGTGCAGCATTGAGGCTAAATCTTAATGATTAGTTAAATTCAAATCTTATTATTCACAATTATATTTTGTAAAGTAATTGAAAAATGAATATGTTTAATGTGATTTAAATCTTATTTCCATCTTTTTAGGGCGTTAATAAAAAAACTTGTTGTAGGTTTTTTTTATATTGATTTATTCATTCATATGCTCTCGTGCGCCGCGCCGACGAGAGCACAGAAAAAATCATGGCGTGTACTTTTAGATTTTCCATACTTTTTCAAAATGTATTTTCGGCACGAGACTCTTGCACCGCAAGGCCTTATGCCTCCTCTATGTTAAATATACACAAATTCAGTTTGAATTTCAGAAAATCATTATTTATGTTGAAGCCCTCCGAGTCATAAACTTTCAAACTAGTGTTAGGATATCTATAATAGAATTGGAAAGTCCACTGTTATTGAGTTTTTTAGTTTACAAATCGATGGAAACTTTTTCGTGTAATATTCAGGTAGATGCAACTCGAAGAAAGTACCACAATTTATCAGGATACTATATAAAATAAGAAATTATATTTCTCTGAAGCATCTGAAGCCTATTTACTTTTTACTCATTCATTCAAAATTACAGTTTTCAATCAGTTTTTCGTGAAATACTTCAAATACAACTTTGAAACCTTCAAAGAGTTTACAAAATAAAATTCTTAAGTACATTTCTCATGTACCTTTCTTAAAACGAACTGAAACTCTATATGAACAGAAGCGTTTACTTGATTACATTTGATTCTATTCATGAATTAAAAGTATATACTTACCATAAAGAAAAAAAATTTCACTGACATTTACAGAATATAGAAATATAAATGATCATCAAACAAGAGAGACCAATAATTTCTTTTAAAAAAATCTCAGATCTGCTACAGAAAACAGTTACAAAAATATGTGATGATTACGAAATTATAATCCAAAATAGCTATACTTTACTGTCAGTGGGGTTAGTCGTGTTTTAAATAGATAAAATTGTGAACAGCACATGTGAAAAAAGATAAAGATGTGCCACTAATTGGAATAACGGTGTACGAAGTACTCCTGCACCGTTACCTCTGTTACATATTTCGTCATCGACCCCTGCGTACTACTGATGGAGATACAGACATTCAGTCTGTAAAAACCAGCTACTTGAAATATCCGATGTTTCCCAGCGATACCACCACTAAGTAGTAGGTACGAAGATTCGAAATTGAGGATGCTCGCAAAGCTTCAGCTGGCAACGTTGTTGTGAGGTGCAAACGACAACCTATATGCAGTAGAAGAGCTTCACAAATACAAATGGAAGTATTGAAATAACGCATCGAGAAACTTAATAAGTGAGTGATGTTGCATAAAACTTCGACTTTGGCAAAAGTTCACTTGAAAAAGATGAACAAAAAAGTAAAAATTGACTTCAGTCAACTAACGCTAATGGAGGGTGGAATGTTGAACCTTTTTAAGGAATGAAGTTCGAATTCAACATTGAATTGAGTGCATCCTTCGAAAACACAACTATTATCTGCGAAGAAGAATGATTTTTACTTCGGAGAAGAAAGGCGGAGTCGCCGATGAATTGGACAATATTGAAAGTTTATAAGGAATAAAGTTTAAATTCAACGACTAATTGAGTGCAATCTTCGAAATCATGACTGTTATTTGCGAAGGAGAATGATTGTTCCTTTGGAGAAGGAAGATAAAGTCGCTGATGGATTGCAAAATCCATGATAATGATGAAAATTTGTCATTACAACGGCTTCTCTTATGTTTTCATCACGATTTCGTTTGAATGTGGTATCGACATTCAATGTACAAGTTAATACGTACATCATATGAACTTCGCGTACTCCATATCTGAATCATTCTTTCAAGGTGCACCCCCGATTTGCATTTTTTCATAATTCCATACATCATTTGAATCCGAAGCGCAAAGTGCAGTGAGAGTGAGCAGCGGTAGCAAGCAACACACATGATGCAACATCCACTCGCAGTGTCATTTTTAGACCGATCGTGTTTCGAACTAATGGAACGTCAAAACGTAGCGTTCACTCGTTGCGTTTCAAGCAACCGAATGATGAGACTGGATTACTCTAATCACCCAAACTGCGTAGTTTCTCATGATCTACGCAAGTATGTCAAGAAAATCAACTTGACCTGGGTATTGATGATTTTTCTGCATCCACTTGTCCGTGATGATATAATTCTATTTGTTTAAAAAAAAGAAACTGTGGTATTTTCCACAAACGACATCAACACTCACAGTAAACAAGTCAAAGCGGCTCTTTCATAGGCTCGGGATAAATTAAATAACTCCATCCGCTTTAACATGAATATCACCCCATATGGACTTTCCTGCAGATACTTGTCGCTGTGGTTTTCCACCTCTCTCCACAGCCTTTAATTTTTTGACTTAAGTATGTCCCATTCACTACCAACAATCACTTCATTCGACCAATTATATTTCAGGTGAGTGCTTTCACAAACAAGCCACTCATAGCGGTGGACTATGGTTCGATTCCGAGCAATGAATTATTTTCCTTAATCGAACTTGGCGGACCGTCAAACCGTATGAGATTTATAGGCCAGCTTGGAATCATAAGAGGTTTCTAGACCTAGCAAAATCATATGATGTTTATGAATCAGGTGGCCTAGAAGCCCTGTAGAAACACTACCGTAATGTTACCAAAAAAATACTGCAAATACTCCTTCCGAAAAAACCGTTTACAATTTCTCATAAGAACATTGAAAAATTCATAACAGTAAAAACACATAGTGGAGGTGATTCTGTTACTTTTTGAGTTTTTTCAAAAAATTGGACGTCTTTGTTTGGACCAGCATTTATATCAACCTCACGGGTAATGTTAAACTTACCTGTCCAATTTCGATGCCATTAGTAGCTAATTGTGAAACCGCCATAGTCGCACCAGATCCAGCAAATCCTAGGGCTCCAGCAAGAATATTTAAATACGCCCCCCTTGCTTCTGAATTTGAAAAACTCATCGACTGAAATGAATACGATAGTATCACTCGCAATATATGAAGAAATCTGTACTGATATTCTATACTGATATAAATGTGAAAGTTTGTGAGGATGGATGTATGTATGTTTGTGGCTCTTTCACGCCTAAATGACTGAACGGATTTAGATAACATATAGGCTACAATTTACAAAAGTTTTGTGTAATTTTGGTAAGAATATAACAATAAGTATTCGGTAAGTCATAAACATTCTTGCTTCCTAAGAGCAATCTTGGCGTGCGCTGCCTATACCGTTGAAGGTACATACACATAATGTACCGTATATTGCTGCCACATCCAGGGTTGGCTCCAAATCAGGAAACTCCTCAATGGTCAACAGTAGTAACAGGCATACGATGCATACCATGATTTGTGTAATTTGTTGAGATGGGCGTCAATAGTATTGGTTTGCAATCTGTCTAAGAGACGGACCATTTCAAAGTCAAACGGTGTTTCGTCAAACACGATTAAGCTTTGAGCTGAAACAAGTGGTGCGCGAAATGATCCGAAACTATCATAAACCATCCCAAATCGTTCTTGCTCTCTAGGCTGAACTGTTAAGAACTGTTCCCGTTGCTCATGCGCATTCATGTGGGAATTTGTTCGGGCTATTTTCTAGGTTGTTTATTTNAGAAATATAAATGATCATCAAACAAGAGAGACCAATAATTTCTTTTAAAAAAATCTCAGATCTGCTACAGAAAACAGTTACAAAAATATGTGATGATTACGAAATTATAATCCAAAATAGCTATACTTTACTGTCAGTGGGGTTAGTCGTGTTTTAAATAGATAAAATTGTGAACAGCACATGTGAAAAAAGATAAAGATGTGCCACTAATTGGAATATTTACGGATGACGATGATAAGCAGATTTAAAATGTTAATAGATACAGAGAGCCTGAAAAAAATAATCGACAACCACTCCCCAAAATTTGCACCCAATAGCCAACAACTGGAAAACTCCATAGAAAATAAATTGATGGATATAGCCGTTACTAAGTGATAGGAGAGAGAGAAATGAAACTTCCATAGTTTTTATACCACTTGTATCTGAAAGTTTATTGTACCTATTCGTTTGAAAAAGTCCTTATAGGACGAAACTGCAGTAACGTTAGCTACAAATACAAGTGGTATAAAACATAGGCAGTTTTATGTCTCATTTCTCATGGCTTCATAGAAAATACTTATGGATCTAAATTTGTATTGACCATAATCAAAGACTATACTGTAAGAAAGTGATCATTTTGCAATTCTTATAACTGCTCGAAATGTTTTTATATACCTCAAACGAAATGAAAACTAGAAGCTGCAAACAGGAATCTGTTTGAGAAATACATTAAGAATGATATGCCGATTATATAAAAAATTCTTTTGATAGAACTATATCACAGTTCAATGAAATTCTAATTAAATCGTCTTTGAAAACCTATTTACTAATCACTGAAGACTTACATAGCTGAAGAGTTAGTTAATTGCTTTAGTGAAATATCGGAATGTTTCAAGGTATATTCCGATTTCATATAAAAGTAGTTATTTCGAAACTATTTTTTCTTTCGTGTAATTCAATGTTTATATGAAAGTAGTTTTTTCTTACACTTTGTGTCTGAAAGATACTTCTTTGCATGATCTGCAGATCTTTGTGAAAAGTTCATTTGGAAATTGATCTCGAATGACGTCACACAACCTTGGGCTTTGTACAAGATCATATGATCTTGAGTTGGGGGTTGATCTTGAGACTTAAGCCTGAATTCGTTATGTGATCATAGTTTTTGACCTATAACGGCAAGTTTTGTTCGTGAAGGACGTTTCACGACATGGAGATGAAAATGCAATATGACCCCGAACGCGGAGTTTGACCTTGAGATCCAACCTTGTTCGACACGTGACCTCAATGTTTGACCTTAAATGATGTCATAACATATGATCTTGACCTTGCTGATTTTCTATTCTCAACAAGTGATATCGAGATTTTGATTTGACCTTGAGATAAGACATTCATGGATATATTACCATTGTTGATGAGTTTCATATGAGCTCTCTCATTCAGTTAGACTACCTGAAGTATTCGAATAGATAATGCCTATTTGTTGAATGGTGACGACGATAGTTATAGATTTCTCATTTGGAGTTATAGCTTTACTGTCGCCCAATTCCTTCTACTGAAACAGTATACCAGAATTTCCCGCTGATAATGGATAACGTTTGTATATTTTTGGAACTGGGATCCCACATACCATAAGCCACTTTCACTTTAGTATTATAATCGGGTTTATTGATGCCATTCAGCAGTTTCAATTTCTGGTAGTCATCCAGCACAATATGTTTGATTATCTATCCTACTTTACTGATAGCCAATCACACATCGACTTTCCCAATGAATTACTTTTTATATGAGCTGCAATCAAAATTTGATCTCTTCACAAAAACCCATAAGATACTTCACCGCTGAATACAGCGCCACATGGAATCTAATATATTTTGTTTATTTTTATCGGTTTTGTATGTGTTGGTCCGAATGATACCTCAGTTTCCAGTGTAGTAGAGTGAAAACAATGATATAATCCCCCTATGACTAGAGTTGTATATGACGTCACGTGACTTTGAGTTACGTCAACTGTCCACCTATGATTTGACTTTGGAATCCGCAACGGTTACATCACTTTGGGTTGCACGTCACACAACCTTGGAAATTACAACCGATTCTGGACCTTATTCTACCACTAATGACGTCGCATGACAAAATGATCTTGACTGTGTGTGTTTGTGTGTGTAGTTAAGCTGAAGCGTGCTGATTACTTGAATATCATGTCCTGAACACGAACCAGCTGTTACCAGACGTCACAATGAGTAGTGCATTGGGTTAAGAGAGGAAACTTTTGAGTATGAATTGAAACCATGAAAATATAAAGATGGTAATGGAAGACATAATTGTAAAAGAAAATTTGATTTTTACCTTTCAAAATATCTTTACATTCTATGCAAAAATAGAGATATTCGGTGTGGAAAAAATCGAGTCTATCAAGAAACAACAATGACAATCGAATATTGACAAAAAAGTTACTATGTAGGTGTTATAAATTATATATGAGTGGATAATTTTGCAAGGATTTCGGAGAACCTTGAGAGCACCAGCAGAATTACAAATAAGAACTGATAATGGAAAATTGGTTAAATGAATCCATATTGGAATTGAATGAATTTTGGTATTTCTAGAGTTCAATGGAGCATATGAAAACACTACTCAAAGAAAAGAAATATTGAAAGTTTTGATATTTTTTCTGCGATTGAATAATGAATGTATACGTAGGTATTATGTCATTTCCAATTTCGGTAAACAATTATCGGATATCGTATTTGAAAAATCAACACGTTATGCTATGCCACCCTTGACATAATACTTTTTCAGTAAAAACGCGCTAAAATATATGGAAGGCGCTTCACTTCCGTCATTTGACTTCTTTTCCAGTCAGTAATGAAGTGCTGAAACATGAAGGTTCCAGAATTCCTGAAGAAAATTTTGCTAGAGCTGTGCCGCCCTTGATGCCAGAGTATTTATTTCATCTCTGCCATTTCACTTTTTTCCTAGTCAGTAATTGTTTAATGAAATTTGATGGTGGCAGGGTCCACAATAAAAAAATTGCTGGAGCTGTGCCGCTCTGATACTGATACCTGGATTCCCTATTTTGTCTCTGCAATTTCACCTCTTTCTCTGTCAGAAATATCGTGCTAAATTATGGAGGTGGCAGAGTTAACAATGAAAAATTAGATGTAGCTATGCTGTCCCCGACGTCACTTCATTTTCAGAATGAAGAACGGTGCTGAAATATTAATACTAATAAATCAATTGCTGGAGCTGTGCTGCCCCCGTCACCCGAATGTTTCATACTATCTCTGACATTTCACTCCTTTTTCAATCATTGTAACTGTCTCTAAATGATTTTCCTGCCATTAGTGTGACAGGAAAAAATAAGAAGTATCGCAGAACTTTATTGCCACAGTAACCAAGGTTCTTATGCGTGTTGAGTGAAAATATTTCAATATGCATCAGAGTTGAGTCAGAGATTTCGAATATCATACAGATATAATGGTATTGTGTGAATCTACAAAATTCATGAAGCTCTAAAGAAAAACGGAATGGATGATATCCGCGATATTTGAACTGATAATAATATAAGAAATGAACCTCTTGGTGCCTCTTGCGATCGATCAAGGTGTATATACTTCGTCCTAAGGCATATACTCCGGCAGTAACTCCTAGACCTCCTGCTGTTAGCAATACTGCTGGAGCGATAGCTATACTAGTGAAAGACGCTGCAAGAAATACTGCTCCCGAAGCCAGACCTGCTCCAGTACTTAAAATGTCCGCTTTTTGAAAGATCCTTGCAGTCATACCACATGCGGGTGATAAGTGATTCTCTAATATCACGCCATATGTATCACTCATTTTGTACCTGTGAAAAAAAAAGTAGATTGTACTAATTTTCAGCAAAACTGCCATGAGCAAAAGAAATTGGTTGGAATTCTTTCGTATTCAACAAATTTCTTCAAAAATACAAAACGAGAACATTGACGATATCATTTGTACAATACCTTATGACAAATCTCATGAAATTCTTGATATTGTCAATAGATATGATAAAAAATTGCAATTCACTATCGAAATAGAAAATAATCAGACCCTTCTTTTTCTTGATACAAGAGTTATGCGTAATTACTTTCTTATTAGTCAGTGGACTATGTTTGAAGACTGGCAGTAAACAACTGAAGAAATGAACTTTAAACGTTTAAGCCAGTCTCGAATATACCTACGCAGTAGATTGAATGGACTGACGACTATCATATCCGACAGGCGTCAGTGCGGGAATCTTCACAGACAAATTCCTGCATATGCAATTGACAATACAACTGAAAGAGTCGACCTTCAATTTTGGAACGGGCACACTTGCAGACCGGTTTCGGGCTCATTACCCACTCATCAGTGCAAAATAGTGGCCATCATCGACCTAAGGTCAATGATATTCCATAATTGAAAATGGAATTCCTCTTGCTAAGTTGGAGCTGAACAAAAAAATGTCACCGACATGTCAGCGACAAAATGTCGCTTGGATACAGATAGCTTCATCTACGAAATAATGTGTGAAGATGTCTATTCAGAAATCATCAAAAATAACCTATCAAAATTTGATACTTCTGATTATTCGCCAGATAACAAGTTTCAAATTCCAGTCGTGAATAAAAAACTTCCTGGGTTAATGAAAGATGGAGCAAATAGTAAAATCATCACGCACTTTGTAGGGTTACGTTCCAAATACAACTACAAAGTGCAGGGTAGAAAAGTTCTCAAGAAATCAAAGGGAATTCGATATAATGTAGTCAAAAGTAAAATTAGTTTTGCAGAATATAATTTATTTCGGTGATTTGTTTGGAGATGTCACCTGGAAATTTTGTTAGTTTTTCATTTACTTGGGTTATTTCGTATTGCTTAGCTAGCTGACATATAATTGAAGTAAGCATTATCGGTTCCATCCACGTAACTTCTATTAGCAACATCGTAATCAGTGGTGTGGATCTCCATATGATACAAATTCAAATCACCACAATTAATATCACCATCTGAGGTATAACGCGACAAACATCTTCCAGAGGGCGTTGGCAATTTTTACTTTCTGTTGCTGTGAAGTATTTCCTGCATCTCGATAGGCTATCAATAATTTGAGACGTTCGCATAGCTTGTTGTGATCGTCCTAATAAACGTATTCAATGGGTTTCATATTTAATGTGAACGTAACGTTTTGGGTAAACATGATATCATCGCAGTAGTAGTAGTGAGAAGTGTTTCAGATGAAAAAACCCAGTACCAGTTTATCGAAGATTTCCTGCTGTAGGAGAGTTGGCTCACCCCATTGGTATTTCATTCATTTGATAAAATATGAATTATTTCTCTAATAAATTAGAAATAACACGCATTTCTCATTACCTTTTGTAGTGAAACGTTATATGGTTGTCAAATGGAGTGTGTTGATGTACAAAATGCACATATGAACATACATCAGCGAATTGGCGAAATGAAAGAATGCTACACCACAGTAGCTACTGTGACCTCACTTGCTGAGCGGGTCGTCGTATTCGCTGGGGAGTGAGAGTTAAATTTGCATAATGAAGACAAATTCAAAAATACAACAATCATAAAACTTGTCCTGCCGTTCTAATGTTCTCTCATTATTATTATTTTCATTAATGAAATATCATATTGCAATACTCATTATCTCATTCCTGAAGAAAACGAATCCAAAACACAAAAATTATAAAAATCGGTTTAGCCGATCTTGAGTTCGTTCATTGTTATTATTATTATCATTGATGAAATATCATATTTCAATACTTATTATCCTATAATTCACAAATTATAGAAATTGGTCCAGCCGTTCTTGAGTTCTCTTATAATTATTATCATTATCATTATTATTTTCATTCATGAAATATAATATTTCAATTCTTATTGTCCTTTTTTCGACGAAGACAAATCCAAAAAACAAAAATCATAAAAATTGGTCCAGCTGTTCTTGAGTTTTTTTAATATTGTTATTATTATTGATGAACCATCATATTTCAATACTTTTAATCCTATTTCCGACGAAGACAAATCTGAAAACACAAAAATGATAAAAATTGGTCTAGCCGTTCTTGAGTTCTTTAATTTTTTTTTGGGTGTCATCGGCATCGACTACATTGGTCATTAGCCTAGTGTCCTAGGGAACATCATGGCTATTCGTAGTCCGTCAGATATGTAACGATAGACAAATCCAAAACCACAAAAGTCATAAAATTGGTCCAGCCGTTCTTGAATTCTTTTATTATTATTTTCTTCGATGAAATATCATATTTCTATACTTTTTTTTAATTCCTGGTGAAGACAAATCCACTCTATTTTTTGTCTCAATAATGAGTTCGTAAAATGATTTTTTCAACGTGAACATTTTACTACCTTGATATCTTGTCGAAAGTACTAAGAAAATTAGGCTTCTTACGCCCGCACAGTAGAAAATTGATGCACCCGAAGTACGCGAGTTAAATACTCGAAACAGAAAATTGTCTTTTTAAAAAAGTATTTATTTTATAAAAGAGACGACTTTCTCTAGCAAAAATTACAAACAGAATGAATAAAATATGAGTTAAAATGATGTGCATCGTTCCGCAAGTCCAGATAAGCATTTCATGGAAAAGCGCTGTCAGCAGATCATGTTTCTATGAGAGCAGCAAATCGTGGGAACGGTCCTTCCATAATTCCTCCCTCCTTAAGTTCAAAAATGACGGAGTCATTTTTGTCTGGATGGAACCATTTCAATTTCCGGGATATTTTCGTCTTTCTTTGTCTTCTTAGGGTGAGACCATTTTAGTGTAGTACCCTTTTCGTTCTTTTTTCTGATAAGTATTATCAGAATCAATACCAATATGATCGATCCGAAGATGATTTCGAAGATCAACATTTTATTGGTGTTATCGGCTACGTCGATCTTTTTGACTGGTGACAACTTTCCTGCTAAGTTGTGGAACCCGTACATTTCAACTAAGTTGAGATTGGAGAAATTTTGTGTTTCGTTTACATTTGGGGTTTCCACATCGTTGATTTAGATTTTTGGTAGAATCAGAGGTGTTCCCTTTTGAATCACCATGTTGTTGAAAAACGTCTTATGGGTTATTCGAACTTCACTTGCTATGGAAATTTTAACGAGTGCGGGGGTGTTTATCTCGATATATCGGTCAGCTCTGCACTTAGAGAAAATTCTTTCTTCTCGTACGGGGATGATCAGCAATCCCTCATGAGTAATTTGTTAGGCTATAGATTAGCCTCCTTGATTGAAATGGGTTGGCAATTAGTGTGATATTGCCTTCAATCAGCTGGGTTGTACACTGGTCCTGTGGGTAACATGTGTCCAATAATGGACACATGTTCGATTCGAATTGATTTATTAATTAATTGATTTATATGTATTTGAAGCGCCTTCTGAAATAGGAATATTGCATATAGGATTTTCACAAGTTGAACAGTTTCTAAGCCAGAATTTTCTTCATTTTCTTCAAGGGGAATGATTTGAACGTCGGAAATTATATTGATTTCTGTGAATATTTTTGGGGTTCAATAATTTGGAGAACGGTTTTGTCCAAATCGGGGATTTCTTAGGGGTTTGTCAATATTCAAACTCTTCGAGTTTCAAACGCCAGCGTACCAGAGTTGGGTTCTTTCAAAGAAAAGAGCCACTGAAGGGGTTTGTGATCGGAAAATATTGTGATTTTTAGACCAAATAAGTAGGGCCGGAAGTATTTACAGCTCTAGACGATGGCAAGAATTTCTTTTTCGAATGTCACATAATTGACTTCTGCTGGGTTCAGTGTCCTGAAGGCGTAACATATTGGGTGGTCATTTTAGGATAATATTGTGCTCATTGCGGAATTTGAGGCTTCTGTGGTCAATTCGAATGGTTTTTCAAAATCAGGATATGCTAAAATAGGTTCGGACATGAGTATTGACTTGCATGTATTGAAGCAATGAACAAAGTCTTTCGTGTGTTCTACCTTTTCATTTTTCTTAAAACATTTGGTCATAGGTTTCGCGAGTCTGGCAAAGTTCCTAATGAATTTCCGATAATAACCCAATAATCCCAAAATTATTTTATATTCTTTTGAGTCTTCGGAATTGGTAAATTTTTGATAGCTGTAATTTTCAGAGGATTAGGTTTGATACTTTCAGGTGTGATCACATGTCCTAAAAACTCGACTTCCTTTCGAAGAAATTCCGATTCATCTAATTGAATCTTCAATCGAGCTTCGCGCAATTTGGAAAAAATCAATTTGAGGTTTTGAATGTGCTCCTGAAATCGGGTGTTGAATATGATGATGTCATTAATATAGACCATGCAAATTTTATTTTGCAAGTCTTTGAGAACCTCATCCATTACTCTTTGGAAGCTTGATGGTGCGTTTTTGAGACCAAACGGCATCGTCAGGTATCCATAGTGACCATAGTCCACATTAAACGCGGTTTTTTCGATAAAATTTTGGGCCATTTCGATTTGGTGGAACCCACTGGGTAAATTGAGTATAGTAAAATACTGAGCACGTCCCAATTTGTCCAATGTGTCATTAATATTGGGGATTGGGTATCGATCATGTATTGTTTTTTCATTGATTTTACGATAATCAACGACTATTCTCCATTTTTGTTTACCAGATGAATCGAGTTTTTTAGGCACGATCCAAATGGGGAACGACCACGGGCTACATCTGGGTCGTATGATATGTTTCTCGAGTATATCGTTGATTTGACGTTGGACTTATTGTCTGTGGACGTATGGATACCTATAGGATTTAGTGTGTACCAGTATTTTGGTCCGTAGTCTTTATCTCATGTTTTATTTTTGAAGTAAATGTCAATTCGTCTCCTGGTTTGAGGAAG